AGGGGCCAGTATATGGCGTGGTGGTTAAGGCGCTAGACACTCCCCCATAACTGCCCATGGTTAGAGTCCCAGACCTGGTGACTTGTTTTCTCACTTTCCTTCTCGCTCTCTCTGTCTCTCTCTGGTCAAATTAAAATAAATGAATGCAAAATAAAATTAAAATCATTATTTATTTTAAAAAAGAAAAAAATTCATTATTTAGTTCACTTTATTTATTTATTTATTTAAAGTTGACCAGAGAGGGACAGAGAGAGAGAGAGAGAGAAAGAAAGTGAGAAAGCAATCCGCTAGGTCCTGGACTTATACTGCATTCGGCCATATGGGAGTCCAGCACCCTTAACCACCACACCACTTGCCAGCCCCAAAATAAATAATTCTTAAAAAAAAAAATAAGATACTTAGATTTCAAAATTATTGACACAAAAGTAAACTTTTTTTTTTTTAAATACTGCTCTTGGCCGGTGGCTTAAAACTCACGCCGGGCGCGTGTGCGTGCGTGCCCAAGATCCCGAGAGGAGAATGGAGGAGAAGGGATTTCGATGTGACCATCCCCCCTGGGGGGTGATTTCTTGCTTTCTGTCTCTCTGTCTGTCTGTCTGGCGAGCGCACGCGCCCTATAGCGAAAACCTCTCCAAAAAAAAAATATTTGGTTACAGTAATACAATTTCCTTGTTTGGTCTATCCTGTTGGAAATTTTCTAGTTATGTAATTATAAGTTTGATTGGTTGAGCTTAAATTTAGTTCTATTTTTTTTAGTGTAGATATTTACAATAAATAGCTCAAGTTATGTTTTACTAATATTTGCAAATCAAGCAAGGTTTAGGTTACTGATGTTGCCTAACCTGTTTTATCTCCTCAGGGTTTCTTTAGGCCTGCTCTCCATTTTAATTTACTTTAAAAAGACTGTCCAGGAAAATTCTGAATTTAAAGAGGTAGACAGTTCTCTTAAATTAAGTAACTTTTGGAGGCTTTAATTACCTAATATGCACTTTCTAATAATAATAACTAATGTTTGTTTTACATTTACTTTGTATCAGAGTAAGTAATTTACAGTTCACTTAATTTGTTTAAGAACGAAATAACCATTATCATTAAAATGTTACAGCTGGGGTGAGCAGATGGCTTGAAAGCTAAGGTGACTGCATTCCACATGGCTAACTTGCAGTGTGAGTCTGGACCCAGTTTGAACCATGCGTATGCATGCAGGGCACATAAGGAACATAAGAAAAAAAAAAAGGTACAGGTGGGCCAGCCAGTGGCATGGTGGTTAAGGTGGCTTGACCCCACATGGCAGATAGCGCATTTTGAGACCTGGACTTGGCAGCTTGAAAAACACGCTGAGTGCATGTGCAAAATCCCCCAGAGAAGAATGGAGAAGAGATTGTGGCATGGCCATCCTCCCTGGGAGGGACAAACTCACTTTCTCTCACTGTCTCTCTGAGGCCAATACACATGCCCTATAGCAAAAACCTTTAAAATAAAATAATAAATAAATAAACATGGCTTCTCACCTCTACACTCCTTGCAAGATACTCCCAAATATTCCAATGAAACCATAAAGAAAACTGAGCCTCCTGGTGCAAGGAAATAGATAAAAACCCCTGGGGGAAGGTGGTGAGAATTTCATCAGCCCCATGGGAACTGGGGGATGGAGAGAGGAACGTGTTTTAAAAGTTTAACTCCCATCTCCTACTAAAGGAAGACACCTACACAGGAGGAGATGTCTGCAGGGAGCACCCCAAATCTGAGCAAACAAGGTGACCTTAAGACAGATGCAGAAACATGGTTCCATGCACAGTCATATGCAGGGCAATTAACTTGTGAATATTATTATTATTATTATTATTTAGTGGGGGGATAATTAAACTTTATTTTTAAAAAACCAAACTACTAAGAAAATGTATCACAGCAAGCAGATAGGCTATATTATCACTTCAAGTAATAATCTGACAAAAAGACAACAAGGTCCTTATCAAAAGGACAGGGCGCCACACTGGGGCAGAAACACTGCATGCTGCAAAGGCCCCAGGCCAAAATGGGATCTGGTAACCGAGGCTGCCCCTCCTTTGCCCTAAGGGTTTCCCAGGTCATCCACTTTGTCCCCACCTTGGCTTTTCTGTGGCCAGGGGACTGTCTCAGTAGGACTCGGGGAACTCAGGGGGCTAAGGAACCCATGCCGGG